CCCTCCCCCCGCTGCCTCCTCCGCTGTCTGTCCCCTACCCCCTGCCCTATTACTGCCCCCCTCACCACCTCTCCCCCTATTACTTGCAGTATTGGGGTGGACAAATTTAAGATGATCTTCCAGTAATTAGATTCCATACATGGCAAATTGTAATAAATTTATACATTTTCTGTGTGTAGAATCTAATTAATGGGGGGGGGTGGGGGGGGTTGTCTTACTGCCAGGGTAGTCTTGTATTTGAGTAAATGCGGTATTTCCTGCAAACTGATTATAATTTGCTAAACAACCCTGTAGTCAGACTTGTTTTCTTGGATTTATAGCAAAAGGTTGGGGCCAGTTTTCTTCAATTTGGTCTGAGATGGGGGGAAAAAATGAATGCCCCAGGAACTTTGTGCTGCAACTGTAGCTCGTTGTAGCCCTTAAGCGGGCAGTCCTAGTGAAATTCCTTATCTTTACTTCAGTTTTCCGTATTGGGCAGCTGGAACTAGAATTCTTAGTTGCTTTTTCCTTTGGTGCAAAATAGGTTGCCTTGTCCCATAACAGTGATAACAAAGAATAAATTGCAGCCAGGGAAAGCGGGTCTGACACGTTCCCTTCGTAAAGCAATTTACAAGCAGCTATTCAAAGTTCAGTCTGTATTCGATGCATTGCTGATGCTCGGCTAGTGTCCAAGTGATTCATGTGAAATCTGGGTCCAAATCCTGCTCGAGCATAAGCAGCTCAAACTAAAGTGGCACCTGTCAACCTTGGCTGGATTTGTTGGTGGAGGCTACTTCTGTTCTTGTCTCCAGCTGCTGTAGTCAAAGATGAGGAGGCTGGAAGGCTTCAGGGTATAGAGAAAATAAATATAGAAGAGTTCAGTAAGAGCAGTTTATTACCCTTCAGTTGTTGCCAGCCTTGGGCTCCTTGCTCCTCCCAGTAATAGTGAGGATTTGTTAAATCCTGCTTTTATTCTTCCTGGGAATTGAGTGGACAAGTTAGTGCCCTTGGTTCCATTTCCTGAGAAGTGGAAAAAATTACCCAGGCTTTCAGCGTGTTGTAGCATCAACATCTGCTCCCTAGTTCAACAGGATCTTGGCAGGAGATATCTGGTTTGCTGAACTTAAAAACCGTGTCTGTTGAATGTAATTTGGAAGCGTATTTCCAAAAAAAGGCATTCCTCACTCTGGGAGGAAAAGGAAGATACTCACCCAGAAGGAGTTTCTGCAAGGAAACTTTAAGGCTGAGGCCCCTAAGCAACATTGAGCAGGTTATGAGACCTAAATTCTGCAAACTGGAAGATGGGCTTCTGCTCTTGAGAAAGGAAGGAAAAAGCTGCCAAAGCTATTTTGCAGTCACTTCACTGTCTAGTCCTGAATTACTAAAAATTGGGGCTAATCCCAATATAAAATTCAGTGCCATCTGCTCTGGGGGGAAATATATAGGTTATCTACAGATAAGTATGTCTTCAGGGCGCATATTCCTGAAAGTAGATCTCACAGTTATCACTTGGGGAGGAAATAGGTCATCTTTGTCTCTAGAATCCATAGTGGCTGTTATTGTCCAAGAAACGTGAAGGTGACTTTCGGAAGGTCACTGGATCAAGCTACATCCTTATTAGTCACTGCTGTGCACTTGTGCTTATTGTATGGCTTGTGCGAGTGGTTCAAGGATTAAACCAGCAGAAAGAAGAGGCTCTTTCTTCATGACGAGCTCACAGAACTCTCCTCGTACAAACTACAGCAGCTGATTTAGGCATCTTAAAGGTTTTAGGTTTCCCTGCTGGTAGCAAGACATGAGGTTTGATTGAAGATTCAGGTCTCCTGTGAAATACCGCTTGATAGCCATACCTTTTCCTGTAAGGGCAGAAGGTTGTGCGGAGCACTTGCTTACCTGTGCAGAGCGTAACGTTCCCTTCCTCTTTTGACCCGGAAGACAAAGCAAGGCAAAGCCCTGACTACGTCTGTTTGTCTTCTCTAAAACCATGGACCTAAACTGCCTTTTGGTTTTAGATTGGAGGAGGCAGTGTTGTCCTCCCATAGGAGGGATGGGGAGAACAGGAGGAGGCACCAAAGCCCTCCACATACTTGCAGAAGGTCCTCTACCCTGCGTGTCTGTACTCACCTCACTGCTTGTCCTTGGGGATTTGAGCCAGGGGATAAGAATAACCATGGACAGATGGTTTTAATCAATCCTGGGACGCTATCAAATAAAACTCTAATGTATGTCCTACATTCTTATAATAGTCTGTGCTGCTTCACCATACAGAGACTATTTTGTCCACTGCCTCTTGTTTGGAGAGGCTTTGTCCCAGGGTTATCAGCTGAAAAGCAGAGGTTTATTCCTTGCGTTTATGGTTTTTTAAGTTGCCTCGGTGGAACTAGCCAGTTTGGGGCATAACGGGACTAAATTGGTTTGCTGTCCAAAATAAATTTTGTACGGCTTCAACAGAACGTGGTTTATTTCAGCCACAAACCCAGGAGAATTCTTCGCTGTCTCTGTACATGCAATATATTTATTACCACATCCCTGTAGACTCTTGCCATCCTTGGTACCTGTGGCTTTTCGGGACAGCTGACATCTTCATTGTTGTTTGCTTCTCACTGGACTTGCATTAGATCCCCTTGTGTGTTATCAGGATGATGGCAGCTGCAATAAGGAGGAAAGAAGTTGGTATAATTTCTTACCTGGATGATTGACTCACTCAGGAAAAGCCTGAGAGATTCCAGCCCCAGCCGGAATCATGACGGCAAAAGCAATTTGTCTCTCTTCTGGGTATTTCCATTGCTGGGAGTACTAGTCAGCTGGGACAAGAGTGGATTGCAGCCTGTTTTAAGAAAGTCATGTAGGATCTAGGGGAGAAATTTCAGGCGCACAGAGCCAGTCGCTGTTTCTCAGTTGACTTTTTAAAAATCGAAATGGCCTTCTTTTATTATTGCCATTTCAAATGCTTAATGTACGGGGCATTCTGTCCCCAAGGATCCTGGGTTTTGTACTTGGAAGTAGTAACATGGGCAGGGTTTCAGACTGGAATAATTTAAAGCCACAGCTGATCCACCAGGGAATAGATCTCCTTGGAAACTGAGACACGGTCACTTGTCCACTTCAGCTGGTCAAAGCCAATTGACGTTGCTGGGTTCAAAGGCCACATCTGAACCAGGAAAATTACAGTAATTTACAATTGTCACAGCTCCACTGTCAATAGCAGTGGTAGAAGCCATAATATAAACAGGACTTGGGGACCTTTACCGCTGGTTGCTGACTGCTGATTTGCTATCTGTCTCCAGACGGCAGTTGGATAATAGCCTTTGATTATCCCCAGTCTGACTCTGGATTTGATCTGTGTAGCCTAAGGTTCCTCGTCCTTGAAAGCTGTCCATTTCCTTAGTGTCTGCAGGATTCAGGCTTGCGGGACCGGGGAAACCTCCCAAGCTCCAGAAACACATGCCTTGCTGCCTGTTTGCTTCTCCTTGTTCAAGGCACACTCCAATACCATTTACTTTGTGAACGTTGTATACTGCGTTGTAAAGACCCAATAATATGGGGTTTTGTCTTCAGCTTGGGCTCTACTCGAGTAGTTTGTAGACCCAGCAGCAATTCAGAGGTTCACAAAAAGGTATTTCCTTAAGTTTTTAAGTCATGGTTGTTCCCTCTCCCCCAAACTTTAGCGGGTGTTTTTTCACATTAAACATGGAAGAAACAGGTTTGCTGGCTGCAGTTCTGTTGGGATCGCACCGAAGAACCCAGTGGCTGCTCTCTTATAGTTTCATAGTAGGTAGGGTCGGAAGGGACCTGAGCAGATCATCAAGTCCGACCTCCTGCCATGGCAGGAAGGAGTGCTGGGGTCAAACGACCCCAGCAAGGTGATTGTCTAGCCTTGTCTTAAAGTCCCCCAGGGTAGGAGCCAGCACCATTTTGCTGGGCAGTTGGTTCCAGATCCTAGCCACCCTGACTGTGAAGTAGCACCTCCTGATGTCTAACCTGAATTTACCCTCTGCCAGCTTGTGACTGTTATTTCTAGTCACTCCTGGTCGTGCTCAGGGGAACAGGGACTCTGCCAACGTCTGCTGGTCCCCTCTGACTAGTTTGTAATAGGCCACTAGATCCCCCTCTCAGCCTTCTCGCATGGAGGCTGAACAGGTTCAGGTCCCGCCGCCTCTCCTCGTAGGGCCTGCCCTGCTGCCCCCGACCATGCGGGTGGCCTCCTCTGGACACTCTCCATGCTGTCCACATCCCTCCTGAAGTGCGGCGCCCAGAACTGGACGCAGTACTCCAGCTGCGGCCTGACCAACACCGCATAGAGGGGGAGGATCACCTCCTTGGCCCTGCTCGCGATGCATCAGTGGATGCATGACAAGGTGCGGGTGGCCTTCCTGACTGCATCCCCACACTGCCGGCCCGTGTTCATTTTGGCCTCAGTGATGACTCCAAGATCCTTTTCTGCTTCTGCGCTGATGAGAAGGGAGTTCCCCAGCCTGTAGGGATGGTGCTGGCTCTTCTTCCCCAGGTGCAGCACTTTGCACTTGTTGATGTTGAATCCCATCCTATTCTCCTCCGCCCACCCCTGTAACCTGTCTAGGTCTGATTGCAGCCTATTTCTCCCTTCTAGCGTACCCACATCCCCCCACATCTTGGTGTCATCAGCAAATTTGAACATATAAGCAAACATCTTAGTTGCTTTCTTAAAGGTAAACTGTTGTTCTCAGTGCGGGTTTGTTGTATTGTAGGACAGGTATTTCAGTGACGTTGCCTCATTCTTTTCACTCCCATAAACTACATATTTTTCTTCCATGGAGCTTGAATTTCTTGTTGAAGTGGTTACCTTGCAACATCTGAAGCTCTTACGCTTGGTTTCACCTATCCTTTTTTTAACAGTGAAAAGCATTTTCCTGGTGACAACAGTTTTTGCCATGCGGTGGGGTCACATGAGCTGGCAAAACCTCCCTACAGATTCAACTCCCTTTTGTTCTTGCTTTTTGGCAGGGGTTTCTTCTAGGTTACATTTAAATGGCAAAGTTGTGTCTTTAAAGGTAGGAGTCATTTTGCTTTTAAACATCAGGGGATGTTGGCACATAAGTGATGGGTAACTTAAGTCTCTCAGTCTTGAAGTGCTGAAATCATCACTGTGGCCATGGATGCCCATACTGGTGAACCTGCGATGCGTGAAGCAGTTGTGATCCAGAAAAGCCATGAACTACTAATGCAGTCCCAAGATGTAGCTTAGACGTGCCCCAGGTGTGGCAAACTTCTGTCCCAGAGCCAGTCATGTTTCAGAAGGCCACGGGTTAAGTTTTGTTTGTATATGGCGCCTCCTTGATACAGCCATTTGACTGGGTGTACTGGCTTTTCTAACTGGTTAGGTTCTACCCCAGACTGGGGTTGCTGTATTAACTTTTCAGACCTCTGCTGCCCTGAGGTCTGGGCACCAAATGTTGCCTTTCAGATCTTTGTGCTTGGATGGATTTTGCCTCTGTCTGCTCAGATACTGAGACTTCAGAAGCCCCCTGCCCTGCCTTGATGCCTATAGCCATTATGGCCTTGGGACCATCAAGGAGGCGAGCTGCTCACTGATCCAGCAGCTGAACCTGGGCAGAGATGCAGGACCTCTTGGGGCTCCAGGCCGAAGCGAAGATCAAGCAAGCCCTTGGGAATAACCACAGGAATGTGGATGTCTACAAAAACCTACATCAAGACAGCAGCCAAGGGGCCCCAGTGTGCTCCAAGGCTAAGGATATTGGGTATAAACATTATGAGCCTTGTCTGCTCAAGACACTCGGGGGTAGGTTCTACCACAACTCTATGCTACAAGGAGCTGGATTGGATCTTGTGAGGGGAGGCCAGCATTAGTCTGCCTCATGGCAGATTTATGGGTGGATGATGAGACCTTTGTCGGCACTAATGTTGAAAAGGTCTCTCGGAGTCTGCATCTTTGCCAGCCAGAAGCAAACACATTTTTGGAGCATTCCAGGCCAGCTGCGGAGGCCCACTGCCAGTCAGCCAGTCCCCTCCACCGTGTCCTTATCAGAAGCAGAGATGTGGATGGTAAGTACATCTGCCTTTTGGGTTGGTCATTTTTGCATGTCAACACGCAGTCCGATAGTTATTTGGAGAGCTACTGTCATTGGCTCTTGTGACCTAATGCTCCAACTAATGCCCCTGCAAACAGATGTGTGCATGTTTGGGACTGTGCTTCATGCCCTTCCGCTCCTACCCTACCGCAGGTGTGCCAGACTCAAAAAGCAGAGTTTTTGTGGAACAGCTGTCTTAAAAGGCAGCGTGCCTTTGGGATGAAACCTCTTAAGCACATGTGAGCAACACCCTCAGCATGTATGCATGACACATGCCCAGGCCCAGATTAACTGGTTTTTTTAAAGATAAAAATAACATGGACAGCTGCCAGTCACAGATAAGCATTTATAGCCTGGCAGACCTGGGTTGTCAGCTTGGGAGAGGATCTGCAGTTGACGTACAGGAAGTGCTCTAGCGAAATTGTATCACTGCTGGGGATGGCTGGCTTGTCTCCGCATCCCACGTGGATAGCTGTGTTATTCCAATCTCACAGAACCTCTGGTGCAAGGCAGGTGTCCCCTTTTACGTTCAGACTTTTATTGTGTTTTCACAAAGGACATCCTCCGGCAGTGGGTGTCCCTTTTAAAACTGCAGAATGATTGCCAGCATGATGCTGGCACTTGCACAATCCAGGGTTTATGCCAGCAGGTTATGGCCCTTGTTAACTATGATTTGCTACTGCCAACCTTGCAGGTGTGGTCAGGCAGCTCTCTCCCCTCCCTGAGGTGGCTGGCCACTAAGCAGGATGCTGAGAGCTAGGGTGAAAGATATTAAATTTACCAAAGGCTCCCAGGGCTGGGAAGAAGCTCTGGTAATGGGATCTCATAAATTGTGTGAGGGTTGAGCTTGGTATCTGAGACCTTGGAAACCAAGCCTGAAACGGTAACTGCTTGTATATTTTCTTGCCTTCCAGGGCTGGCATCTGAAACTCCCGGGCCCTCCAGGATGGAAGCAGTGACGGCGGTGGAGCACCTTGCTGACTGGAGGGAGTACAGGAAGTGATGGAAGGAGGAGATGGCTAACTCAGCCCATGAGCCACAGCTGCAGCACTGTTGAGACAGTGCACACAAAGTGATTCTTGGACTGCTCTCTGAAGAGGGTGGAGCATGTCATTCTGGGTGTTAATACCAAGGAGACCTCCTATCTGGAGTCCAGGATCAGGGCCCAGTGCTCAGCAGTCCAGTACTGTTCTCTTGCAGAAGTCGAGTCTAGTGCAGCTGCTTAGCAGCTCTTCATTCTGGTTTGAGCAACAGGACCCCTGCCACAGCTTCATGGCTCATAAGAAAAATGGTTTCTAGGCACCAAGCTGATGACCCTATCATTTTGCAAGCTGCCCTTATTTTCAGTTACTCCAGTGTACATGGACCCTGGATTTGGACTGGAGGGGTGTGGATCATGCAGTCTCACTCCATGCTTCAGTCCTACCCAGCACAGAGATTGAAAGTTTTTCCTTTGCGCTAATGTTTTTCCTGCAGTCTTGGAATTTCCTTCCCTCCTTCCTCACATTTGTTGTTTTGCACTTGTTTAAGGCCAAATTCTGAATCTGTTCCCACGTTCCCTGTTTGGTTTTTGTGCCTGTTCTTAAATAAACTCTTTATCGGGGGGGTTTAAAAGCTTCATTACTCATTTCATCCAGTAAATGCAGAAGTTGGTTGAGTGGTGGTGTTCCTGTGCGACAGTCCATTGCATGTACAATCAGGCAAGCCAAGTGCATCTGCCCTGCTGACACCTGAAGGGGCCACCTGCACAGCAGACGCTAGTTTGGTGAGATGCGAGATACCAATACATGCACAACAGAGCCACGAGAGAAGTGGAAAAAATGAAGATGTCCACATAGAGAGCCCATAGGCCTGCCTCTGCCTGCAGCCAAATGAAATGCTCAGAGCAGCTGGGGTATGTGGAGTACAGAGAGACTGGCCAAATGCAGCTCCAAAAGAATGAGGACTGCCAGCATTTTCCTTGCATTCAAATTCTTAGTGAGGCTGGGGCACCCCAGCGTGGAACGTTGGTAGCAAACGTGTGGGAGCTCTTGTGTGTGAATGCACGCATATATGCCACTCGTGTGCACTGCCCACATGCTTCCTCAAACTACCGACCAGAGCCTCCTGCGTTGAGGTCTCCTTGCTGACTGTCAAACCAGTCAGTATTCTGGTTGCTTGAACTACTGTGCCCACCTCTGCATCTGCAGTCACGTACTTGCTCAGGCCCTTGCTCTTGCAGATGTTGTGCAAGACAGAGCAGATGGTTAAAAACCTGGACAGGGACTGGCTCTGTGCCACCTAGGCTTCAGTCACCTGCAGATGCATTCAGTTATTATCCTGCAGCTGCTTAGTCTGTAGTTAAAATGAAACGGTTCCTTTCTGCTTAGTTTAAGGCTTCATAAGCGATGGTAGCATCAGATAGGTAGGATCACTGAATAGGATTGGCATACATGTGGGTGAGTGGATGGGGAAGGCAGTTGCAGCATTTATTTGTTCTGTGGGTTCTGGCAAACCATCTCATCCAAACTGGGGAAATCAAGGAGGGATTGTTAAAAGCTGTAGCATTGTGTTCTTTCCAGGCTACTTTGCATTAATGTGGGTCAACCCCCTGCATTGCTGGGAGGTCTGGTCAACCAAAATGGAGAAAAGCCTGGTGATCTGGCAGTGGTGGGGAGGGAGCAGGTTTGGGATATCAAGATGAGATGCGTCCATGCTGCCACTGTCGCAGTGAACTATAGATCTCCCAGAAGGAAATTGCTGAGAGGAATCTTGAGAGCTTGGAGCCTTCTGGGCTGCTTTCTCTGAAGGTCCTGCCTTTCTCTCTCTCAGCTGTCCCATGAGGTAGCACTGCAAAGGACAGTTGGATGCCAACTTCGCTGGCTATTGTTAAAACTTGTGGCAGCTGTTGCCTTTTCCTTACTTTAATTTGTGGCAGCTTAGCACAGCCTGCTTGGCTGTGCGCAGCTGCCATGATGCTATTTGCTCCAGGTGTATGCCTCTGGCTTTGCTTTTCATGGCTTACTCATTCCTGTGTTCATAGTTTAGGATACTGTGAATGGGAGACATTGTGGAAAGATCTAAGGTAGAGCTCAAAGGACCGGCGCATGGTGGCCGATTGTGTATTTCCAAAGCTACCTTACTTGAAGGTGCTTCCTTTCCTGAAAAATTCGGGTAGCAAAAGTCTTGATTGAAGGCAGCAGCTTGGTTGCCTTCAAGTCTTTCCGAGCTTTATAGGATGAATAACTTCTGTTTGAAATGTGACTTTTGGCTATAGTCGTCTTAAAGCTGCGATACCTGGTTTCCTGGACTTTTTTTTTTTTTTTTTTTACATATATGCGAGTACAATTAATTGCTGCCCAGATCCTGTTACTCTGGATTGATAAACCATAGAAATCATTGAATTTCTTCCATTTAACTTGCGTGTGCATGCTTCTTGGATCTACTTCTTTGGAATGATCCCATTAAAGTTAGTATGTTTTCAGGAATATAGTATTTAATGATGCTTGTATAAGTGGCTATAACTGTTCTAGTAAGCAATTTAAAAAGTGCTTATGGATGCCTCAACTGGTGCAAATTCTGTTAGAGGCTTTCGAGAAGAGGGTGCCAAAAATGTTAACATTGCTTGTGCTGCTGGCTGCCACTCAAGGATGTAACATGCAACCTGTCAGTCCAGATTGTTGGACCTGGGTGATTTGGAAAGCCATTTAAAGGTAAAGTCTTGGCTTCTGGGCTGAGCAAATGAGAGGCTTTCAGTATATCATAGAAAATGAGGGTTGGAAAGGACCTCAGGAGGTCGCATCTAGTCCAATCCCCTGCTCAAAGCGGGACCATCCCCAACTATATCATCCCAGCCAAGGTTTTGTCTAGCCAGATCTTAAAATCCTCTGAGGGTGGAAATTGCACCACCTCTCCGAGTACCCCTATTCCAGTGCTTTACTACCCTCCTCGAGGGAGAGTTTTTCCTGATATCCAACCTAAACTTCACTTGCTGCTGCTGTAAGTTGTTGCTCCTTGTTCTGTCATCTGCCCCCACTGAACAGTCTAGCTCCAAACGTGGCAGCGTTCTTTGTCACATTTTGGTTAGTTGAATGGAGTGAGGCAAGTGTGTGGTGTCTGAGGCTTGGGGGGGGGATTTATCACAGAACGGATAAGTGACTGATGAAATCTGCACGGCATTGTTCATGGCTGTTGGAAGATCTTAAACTATGACATGCCATTCACTTATAAATATTGTTGCAACTGCATGCACTATTTCCCAGTCAATTTGTAGTTGGGCAACAGGGGACCTCAACGTATAATCTGTCATCAGTGTTAGGATATTATAATGGGAGAGACAAAGACAAGAGGATTAGATTCTTCCTTCTGTTAAAGAAATTTGTATTTTATTAGGAAAAGAATCCCAAAGACTGTCTATTATTCTGATACCTGCAAGCAACTCTGGCTGATGTGCCCATGACCCCCTTGTGGTGTGAACTCATTGGATCCTGAAAGCTTTCTAGGGTCAAATTTTAGTTCTGTTTTGGAGAGGAAGCTTTCTTAACAAGTACTTGGGAGCTGTAGCAAGTGGGACATGATTCTGTCTGCTTTGTGGGGCAGTGTGCTGGAAATATAGGAGCATAGGCCTGGAAGGGACCGCCTGAGATCAAGTCTAAAATTTGAAATCCAGGCTACTAGGTAAAGCTTTTATTGTCCTTGCTTTGAGAAGAAAGGTTGTAAACCTTGTGTCTCGGTCAGATTTGTGCTCTAGAAACCTCCCTCCTGCCTACTCTGGAGTCTTTTCGGTTGCATTTGGTTACATTTTTAGTTAGTTCTTGGGATAAAATGGTATTTATTCTAAAAACTGCGATTCCACCCCAGACATGTCTGTATTTTGGCAATAGCTATGAAATGGTCCTTGCCCTTGGTTCTGCAAAGAACTCTGAAGAGCTTTTGCGGGGGTGGGAGAAAGTTGCTACATCTGCAGCATCTGAAACTATAGTTTATCATGGAATTAATATGAGTTATTTATAAACATGTAAAATACAGGACAACCTGAAATAATTTTCAAAGTCACTTTTTGACTTTGAGAACTGCAGGGCAGGGGAGAAGCTTGGGATTATGAGAGTATTCTGAGTAATAACGTTTCCTCTTTTTTTTTTTTTCTCTCTTTCAAGAGCCTTTTTAAAACACTGGGGTTATTGGAGTGGTCGAATTTTTCCTGGATTTGAGTGAGAAATTCAGAAGACTGAAGCCCAGGCTCACTGTCTACCTTTCACGGAGGCCCAGCCGTGAGAGGACAGAAGAAGGCACGTGGCGAATCATGACAGCTGACAAAGAAAAAGACAAAGACAAAGAGAAGGACAGAGACCGAGACCGGGACAAGGAGCGAGACAAAAGAGACAAAGCGAGAGAGAGCGAGAACTCGCGTCCTCGTCGGAGCTGTACTTTGGAAGGAGGCGCCAAGAATTATGCCGAGAGCGACCACAGTGAAGACGAGGACAACGATAACAACAGCGCTACCACGGAGGAGTCTACAAAGAAAAATAAAAAGAAACCACCGAAGAAGAAATCTCGCTACGAGAGAACGGACAACGGTGAGATATCGTCCTTCATCACAGAAGATGATGTTGTCTACAGGCCTGGAGGTAAGGAGCTCTAAATACGTGGTAGTTCGGGCTGTAGTTACATAGCTGCTTACCATGTCTCAGCTGCAGTGTGCGTGGTGGTCCTAGAAGGGAGGGTGTGCAGTCTCCAGTGGACACAGGCAAACTTTCGTGTCACATGCTTTCCATCTCTCTCACAATTCTGATTGGGGGTGAATTTAAGTCCTATTCTTAAGAAAAAGACCCCTTTTCCTTATCGTTATTGTTGTCTTATTCTGCATCGGTGTTCTCTCTTTGCTTTTCCCATCTTTTTTTTTCCTTTGCATCCTCAGTTCACATCTCCATTCCTTCTTGGCTGTCCTTTCCATCCAATTCCTTCTACTCCCGTCTGTAACTGGCCACAATCCAGAATGTCAGGCTTGCAAAGGGCGTTAAGATTCGCTTTGGCCTGGCCTCGCGTAGTGGAATACGTTATTCTGCAGTCGTGCTCCTTGTGGGTACTGTTCTTGAACCAAGGTGGCTTCAGTTCCAGAAAGTTCAGCCTGCATTGTAGACGAATTAATTGCTCCCAGCGCTCCTTCCATGCAGACTGGCCTTGAGCTGTGTGCCTTGGGAGTCTGTTATGGGACTGCCAGGCTCCGCGCCGCAGCTCCAGAGCAGGGACGAGAAATTCTGATGGCTTCTCCAACTGCGGTTCTATGGGCTTCCAGCTTCCCTGCTCTGGAGCTGGGAGCTAAGCCCCAGCTGAGTTGGCAATATGTAAGGACTCCTCTGAGAGACATGAGATCATTTGCCAGAGTCTGTGACTGAGTCCAATTACTGCTGCTCATATTACTTGCTTTTAAAGCTCCATTGTCAACTTCACAAGCCATCTTCATGGGAGGAGGTGTTTATAGCTGAGGCTGCTCTAGGCAATGAACTGCAAGTCGAGGGATCTGGGAGCCTAGTCCTCGTAATGCCATAGGCTTGTTTTCCTGACAGACTCGATCACATGATATTTCGTGTAGTTTACCCATTGATTAAAGCAAGTCATATGTGCTGGCCTTCCCGGAGGAGCTCTCTGGTTTTCAATGAAAGGCTGTATATTCTCACCGTAAATATTTGTTCCATGTGCAAACATTGGTATCTTATCAAGGTTGTTTCAGGGCACAATAGAGGGGGATAAATTTCATTGTACCCTGGGTATCTTTTGATGTGCCAGTTATGTGAAATCCTGTAGTGATTAAACTAAGTTTGTTTTTTTCAGGGTTTAATTTTTTTTCAAAAATTAGCCCTCCCTGAGGACCCTGTCATGCTGTGCCCATTGTCAGTTGACAACTACACAGTGAAATTCCCCAGGAAAGTGGTTTGTGTTGGTTGGGTTTTTTTTTCTTTTGGTTGCAGTCTTCATTTTGAATAATAATTTTTATTTGGGGGTAAAAGAATTGTGAAATCTTGATTGCATGGGTAATTGCAGTTGTTTGTTTCACCATAAGGGGTATTTATTCTTGTCTCTGCTATCAAAAGGATTAGCTTCGGGGCTCCACTATTTTTATCCTGCTCTTCTGTAAAATCGGCAGCATGCTATAGTAACGCTGCTGGAGCAAAACAGAAACTGACTCCAAAGGAAAACAGTGGAAGCTAATGATGGGAAGCCTGTGTAATTTTCTAATGGTCTGTTGCATTTCTAGAGTACTAAAACTTTATGTGGAAGCTGGTGAAACAGCTGTAAATAGTGTAAAATGCTGGTACTCTTTTTCTAAGCTGTCAGTCATCTGTTTCTTTTGGTTGCTGCAATGAGTGTGGCCAGTTGGGCTATGCGAAGCTTTGGCCCCGATTTGATTTGGCTGAGATTTGGTCCGTTTTGGTGGTCGAATCTCCGAATCCGAATCGAATCAGAGGACCCTTTAATCTCTCTGAATCGAATTGCAGCCGTCCGAATCAATTCGGAAAGATTCGGCGATTTGGACATAAACACAGCTTTAAATGTTTTTTCTACGTACCTCTGGGTAGCAGGGGCTTGCGAGTGCTGTGGTGCTTGGGAGCATGGAGTGTCCCATGGAAGCGCGGGGGGCTCCCTAGTGCGCTTGGCAGCAGACCTGGAAGTGGACCAGAAGCACTTCCAGTTCCACCGGGAAGTGTGCAGGGGGGCTTTTCGCTCCCCCCCCAGCTCGGCGACTGGTGCCTTCTGGGTCTGGGGGTGCTTCCAGGGTCCCCCTGCAGCCAATCACTGAGCTGGGGTGGGGTGGGGTGGGGCAGCCCTTTCCCCAGCAGCCCCAGAAGTGGACCAGAAATGCTTCCAGTTCACTTCCAGGTTCTCTGCCAAGCACATGGAGGGCCCCTCCTGCACTCCTGTGCAATGCTCCATGTGCCCCAGCATCACAGCATTCACAAGCTGTGCTGGTACCTCAAAGTATGTAGAAAAAACATTTAAAGCTGCTTCTGTCTGAATTGCTGATTCTCCGAATCAGCATCGAATCTTCATAATCAATGAATCGGATCACTGTCCCTGATTTGGGCCGAATCAGAATGGAATAGTGCCCGCTTCACGCGCCCCTAGTGACCAACTCCCAGATGAGTGGGGTGTGATGGGTTTTTTTTTGCCTTGTGTATAGTCGAGTCAAAGGGTTTAAATAATGGTAGGTTCTTTTGGAGGTAAAGTTTTAAGTTGTTTTTCTTTTATTTTCTCTTCTATACAAAAAAAAATCTTGTTTTTATATAGATGCATCAACTTATCTCCAAGAAGCACACCTCAGACATGCCAGATTGAAAATATTTATGACACTGTTTGCTTCTCAATAGTCAGGACTTTAAATTAGGAAATATTTGACCAGTTGGAGGAGCAAGAACAGGGAATCCACAGAATTCAGCTTTGGGGTAGCTTAACACCAGTGTCAGTGGATTGGGAACACTTATGGTATATTAAGAACAGCTTTTGTGTGGGTTTTGTGGTGAAGTGCTTTAATGCACTGGCTTTTCATTGCTGAGTGACCTGGCTTAAAATGGAGGTAGAAAATCAGTTTGTTTTCTTGTCTTAGTAGTTCATATAATAGAACTGGGAAAAAATAGGACACTCACTATAGGTGCCCTCCACTGAAAGTATCAGTAATAGTCTGATTTTGGGTAGACTTGTTTTGGCAGGAAAGCAGAATTTAGTACAAAAATGCCTGCGTTGTGTCTGGGTCCAGTGATCATCAATCTGATTTTCTGACTAATTCTCAAAAAGAAAGTGCTTTATACTCTGCCTGCTGGTGAGGGTGTGGGGGAGCAGGCATAGGGGAAGAGGAAGTTGCTGGCAAACAAGCTTCCTTTGAATTTTTTAGGCTGACAGTTTTAAATAGCTCCTTTTAGACGCAAGTCCCAAGCCATATACACACAACTGTTAGTTTTGTGTATGCATCCTGCATATTCTATAAATATTTGTTGTGCTCCCTTAAACAGCTGCTGCTTGCAGCCACTATTGACGTATAAAGTTGCAGCTCTTGAACAGGGGACTCCAGGATCATCCACCAGTTATAAGGGTCTTTCTCCATTCTAGTGCAGGAGGATTTTTTTATACCCAGTTTTAGTGCCTGTGGCTTTCAAAGGAAGTTTTTTTTTTTTTTTTTTTAATTTCAGAGAA